TACAAGGCATTTGGCTTAGGAGCTGTTTGGATCCTGGTGCTCAGGGGCTGCAGGAATGATATCTAGAATCCATTAATATGGTATCTACAGTCCATTTTCCCTTAGCTCTTCATGGGGCATGCTATAATGTAACATCTGTATACCTCTCTCTCTGACAGCTTAAGGGAAGGTGGACTGTATGTACTGTTCTGATAGAGGAGGAAGATCTTTTACCAATAATACCGTTCAACTTTACAGTATTTGATGTTGGAGAAACCAGGCATGGATTTTGTGCATGGAATCTGTTCTCATAAAGCAAACTGTTGCTCTCTGGATGTGTTTCTTCTCTGAATGCATGACTGTAGTTTGGTCAAGCTGTGATTGGTGGAATGTTTGTTGCATCCAAAAGATCTACTGATTGAGCCTGTAGAGGACTGGGTCTTGTCTAGCGTAGTAAGATCAAACCAACATTTGACTTGTCCCAAATTTGTTTTTAGTTTTGTGGAAGCATCAGCTGATATTTGGATTTAGATGTCTGGCTTTCTTTCTCTCCCCCCCCCCCCTTTTTTTTTTCTTTTTTTTTTTGTTTTTTGGGAGCACCTCTTTTTTTTTGTGGTTTTATTTTTTGCTTTTTTTCTCCCCCCCCCCCCTTTTTTTTTTCTTTTTTTTTTTGTTTTTTGGGAGCACCTCTTTTTTTTTGTGGTTTTATTTTTTGCTTTTTTTCTCCCCCCCCCCCCCCATATTTTTATCCTGTGTTTATTGAATTGTGATTTCCATAATTTCTGTAGCAATTTATTTGAACTGCACAGGGATTGATATTTCAGTGGGCAACTGGTAACAGGGGTCATGGTGGCTTTTCATGTGCTGTTTTCTATCAAGCAGGCTGTAGGAAATGAAAGTCCAATTTCTCCACTAAGTTGAGAAATCCTGGGGGGTGGGAGGGGACATAATTCTTGCATTTCTTTAGAGTTGGATTTGGAAAACAAAATTCAGATCCGAAGCTAAGTTTTGATATTTCCACTGAATTTAAGTTGAGTTTGTAGAGTTCTTGGTGCTCTCTGAGCTTGGTGGTTTGCTTGCAGACATTTCATTACCCAACTAGGTAATGTCATAGTAAGTTGTCTACAGCAACTGAGAAGAAAAGATCTTAAACTGAGGGAGTCAAGATAAATTAAATTCATGATTGTAATTTCTGGTGTTCAGGGGGACACTCAGAATGGAAGAGGTGAGCTGAGATAGGCTTCTGGGTAAATGTTCCTATATTCCCCTTGCATGCCCAGATATTTATGGTTTATTATTGAGATACAAGCTGTAATGTGGTTTGTTGGAAATGTGTCACGTGAATCCAGTCATTTATTATTTAGCCGCCGACAAACATGGTGAATAAACATAATGGCCTTACTGGCGCATTGCTCTAAACCCCAACCTGACTGGTATGGCTTGGGATAATGGATGAATCCAGCCCGTGTCCATCTGTTTACTTTGGAGAAATCGGATGGGGAGGTGGAACAGCTGGGTAGGTAGAATTTTCAGCCTTACCTGCCTCAGGTGGTCCCTGAAGGTTGTGTGTTTGTAGCCTTCCCTTCCCTCCATATATACACATACATACACATATTATATACATTATATATAAATATATATAATGGGATTAATATGGATTTCAGAAAGCAGATCTTCTTGTTACTCCTGGGTTAAGTTGCCAGCTACTCTTGTCTGATGTAGTAAGATAGGGAAGGAACCCAGGGCACCCCAGGCTCCGCCTTCACATGTGCAGTTGGCACCATCTGCCATTCCTTCAGAGAAGTGCAACCAAAGGGACTTTGGACCACCATCTCTCCAGCACAAACTCTCCCCTTTGGTTGCTTCCCAAATTCCTTGGTCCGATAGCTCAAATGGCTGATCAATTGATAGTGTTGTTGGTACAGATAAGTGAGGAAGAACAGCCCAAGTTGGGCTGAAACATCTCTGAGTTTGAGGTCCAACCTCAAGGCTGATTATCAGCCAACGTTTGCAGCAGGGCTCAGAAATCTGATTCAAGGGTACTCTTTGCATCATTGCCTTTACTGTGCAGGCTCAGGAATGGCCTAGCCATGTTCAGATGGTTCTTAATCTCACATCTTTGCAAGGCTGGCATGCCTGGTTTTGCCCCTATACCAGTAGCTTCAGTTGGAACAGAACAGGATGGTCCTCTTCCTGGATTTGAAGGACATCATGGAGGAGGCGGTGGTCTGCATGATCTCCCCACATTCTAGATAAACAGCAAAACCAGTCCAGATTGCATGTTGTTCTCCGTCTGCTCCACCTTGTTCAGAAGAGCAAGGACACCTGTGAGGAATTCATTATTGTTTTTAGCCATTCTCTTAGTTGGCTAAAGTTATCCAATATTTTTTTCCACGTTGTGCAATCAGTGCAACTGCATTTACATCTATCACTTCCCAGAAAACAGTTTTGGCATTTGATCTATTTTTTAAAATGGTTGCCTGATAATGCGGTTCAGGCCCTGGGAGTCTGAGGATTGCCGCTTGAAGAATTCCATCTTCTTCTGGGCTCCTGTTTTTCATTTGCCCAGATTTCTTGTTCGCTTTCAGCCAGTACTGATGGGTGAATAACTGTAATGATATTCAGTAGCCAGCATGGGTTCATTTATTTCCCCCTATTTGGCAGACCACAATGGGAAATGATGGGGCATTCTGGAGTGAATCCAGATTAACCCACACATGGAGTTGTGTGCTTCAGTGACATTTGCACTCTGTCCTGGGGTTGGCCTTGTTCTTGCCTCGAGCATCAGACCTTAATTTTCTTTCTCTTCTCTCTCCTTCCTCCTCTCACCAGCAAACTAATGACGATGAGGCGCCAGAGGTCAAGCTGCTGAAAAACCACAGCGAGGAGGAAGATGCTCCAAAACATAAGTGAGTTTCTGGTTATTTTCCCTGTCAGCCCTGTGAGATAGGCCAGACCAGGAAACTGACTCCTCAGGAAGACTAGAACATACTTTATTGCAAGTCTGTTTGTCTTTGTCTTCCCCTCCCTCTTACGCCCCACTGAGTTAGGTGGAACCAGCCCGTCCCATTTGCTAATCCTACCTCCTTTCCTAGGGCTCAAGAAATGCTTCTGTCCTTGTTGTTTCTCTAACACAGGGTTTCTCAGCCCGGGCCACTTTAAGACGTGTGGACCAATTCCCAGAATTCCCCAGCCAGCATATGCTGGCTGGGGA